TTTCGAATTGACACTCCATTTTGCAAATTTTTGTCTCGAAGGATGTGACCTACAGTGCGCATCTGCGAACAAGCTCTGCAACCTAAGGCTACGAGTTTATGTTGAAAGTTTTTATGTATGTTTTGATTAAAAGTTATTGGATAAATGGACAGACAGACGTAACGATCTTATAAATAGCTTTCATCCTTTAATACTAGGATGTTTCTTAAAAGTAATGAAAATAATGAAATGATAGGTAAAAATAAAGGTATAGTAGTCTTCAATCTTTAAGTTGAAGACTACTATCCAATTTTAAAAAGTAAGTTCTTGTTTCTAGAGCTTGTCATTTGTATGAATAAAATATTAGAGGCATTTGGTTGACGCAATTGGGCGATTTTTACAGACACGAACAGTGTCCATCAAGTTGAGTATGTTATTTTTTAAAATTTACTCTCCATAAGTCTATGTATATATTTATTTAAAACGGTATCTTCTTCTAAAATATCTTGACTTCGCTAAACATACAAAATTCTGCCAGAATATCGGCCACCTCAAGATGCATCATAAAATCCAATCCATTCCTGCACTACTAATAATAATCTGTCTTACCCACGCAGAATCTCTACGAATTATCACAATCTCTGAAATTATGAAAGGCGTAGAATTTTGCGAAGTACAAATTATTTACGACAAAATTGAAAATTCCTTATTCAAAACTGACAATTATTATATCTCCCGTCCAAACACTGTTATTCAATTTGATGCGAGAAATGGAACATTTCTTCTCTGGAACTTATCTAGAATTCGGCAATCAAGGTGCAAGATCAGCTTATCATTCTTTACGCATTTGTTCCCCGGAGATTTAAAGTCGAGGATTCCTCATATGATTTTATTATGGCTTGCTGACTACAAATACATACACCGAGTCCATTCTGACTTTAGATTTGATGACAGTCATGTCTGTAAGATTATTGTATCTGCAATTGGTTACTCAAAACTACAAAAAATATTTCAGCCTACTACCAGATACTCAATTCCAGGAAGTGTAATAATTGACAACTTTGGGATTTTGTTTCCATTTAGAAATAAATCATTCAAACTTTGCGTTCAACCGATTGGCGTGGAAGTACGAAACATTTCTTCAATGAGTTGCAAGATTTATGGAAGTATGAAAACTGAGAATTTAAATATTGTGCAATTATTTACAACCATGGTGTCCACTCCAATAGTTTGGAGGCTCGCCACATCCACAGAGTTTGATCCAAAAGTAGGGAAAAACTTCGACTTCGCTCAAGACAATTTAAAATCCGACCTATTCGCTGATTCAGAAAATAACCCTATGTATCAACGCCTAATCGGAATTGTTTTTCGAAAAGTGAATATAAGTTTCTTTTACGACTCGTACCGATTGAACCTCAAATCTGGTGCTACTCTAGGTGTACACAAAATTGTAACCACATTGCCCACCACAAACAATCCATTTTGGAAAGCTACGCGACAAGTAGTATATAAATTTCAAGGCTACCAATTTATAACTTGTTACTCGGAGTCATTCTTATCATTAAAGTTTTATCTTGTTCCCTTCCAACCGGCCGTTTGGGGGGGATTTTTCATGTCCATGGTCACTGTTATGAGTGCACTCAGCTTGTATCAAAAGTTAAAAAATATTCAGCACTTTTCACCCTTGTGGTTTATTTTAGCAAATATTTTCGATGAAGGTACACACATCCCGAGGAGGCTAGAAAATCAGGAATTCTTTCGAATTCTGATTAGCGGCTGGATTCTGATGGTGGTAATACTAACGAACTGCTACAGTGGACTAATGATCTCCGATTTAAATTCCCCCCTTCCAGGGACAAATGTGCCGACAAGTTTCCAAGATTTAGTTTGCGAAGAGAAACAAATAGTTGACTCTTATAAGGAACGTACCAATCTGACTGATTGGATCTTCACGTATATCGAGGGTAGGATACAATCAAAACCCGAAGCGTTTAACAATTCTTGTTACCAGATATTATCAAAACGTATATCTAGTTTTACTATGTTTGAGTATGTGAGCGTCACATTTGGAGTCCGTTTTGAGCTTTTATCAATTTGGTCCAGCCTCTTTTACGAACCCAGGTATATAATGGACCTCGTTTCCTTAGATACCGTAACTTCCGTACTATTAGACAAGGGCAATCATAAATTTATACCTGGAAATTTTAACGATTCTTCAGATCCGTCAGTTAATATGCTATCAATAGAACAGGATATTGCAAAATGTGGAAAATCCGTCCTTTTCCTGGAGGAATCTGCTTTGCAAAGTGTGGCGTATTATATGAGTACAAAATACTTTTGGATAAAGTTCTACAAGGGAAACGACATATTAAATTTAAACCCTTTCGGATGGACGTTTGAAGGTGCGGGGATTTCAAGAGTACCGCTGAATTTTCAGGCTCTGATTGAATCTGGAATTCATGGGCGTCTCGAGTTAAAGGATATAATGAAGTCGTATTGGTTCCCTAATACAAACGTGGTGTCAAGATTGAGGGAAAATCCACTAGGATTGGATGGGGCGTTTATAACATTGTTCATTTTATGTGGAGTTTTGATTGGTGCATCCGTATTTATTTTAATTGTTGAATTGCGCAGAATTTTGCATAGAGCTGTTTTAGTGGGAACATTTAAAATTAGCTATGTGATGGGAAGATGTTTTAAAAATTTTCACATCAAGTCACATTTTGTCATCATTCGAGTCGCATCGCATCAAAAATCGCCTCAATAAGCAGAAAAAACTTATAATATAAAGCCCGTGTTAGATAGTTTAAGCATCACGTTTAACAAGGAGAAAAATTGTTTCATAACTTAGATACAATACACACATCATAAAGATGGCGACTGGCTGTAGCCATCTTTATACTGACTACGGGCTTGTGCAAAGTATTTATTACTGTTCAACACAAACAAAATAAATTTTCTTAAAAATTTTTAAAATAAATTAAAATTTTTTTTTCTTCCTTGAATTATTTATCAATGTCACATATTTTCGCTTTCTATCTTTCGAAGCGTTTGCAATTTCGTTCATAGACTTGGTTTTCTCAGTAGGGTTTCACACATATCTAGCCTGACCAGGAGGCTCAGTTGATGTAAATTATTTTCAAAATAGTGAAGGTAAAATAGCCTTAAATTTACATTCAAACATTTAGTCCCAATCAGGACCTTGTCAACTGCTTACCACCGCTAGGACGTAGCCTTTGCGGGGTGTGAATTAGCTCATTTTGGATCGTGAATATTCATTGTCTGATTTTGCGCTTATAAATTATGTTGAATTTAATGGTTTAATTTTATTAATCTCCAAGTTTGCCCTATTCAATTTGATAAATTGATTTGTCGCTGACTGATATAAATATACAGTTGATATGGCATTGTTAATAACGTTTGTCTCAATTTATTTATATTGATAAGTTTATACGGAACTATGTTTTTGATGATAAGCTATTATTACTATTACGTTTACTACAAATCCAAATAGTACTTTCTAGAAAAGTGGCGTAACAATTCTGTACGTACGTACATATTTATATATAAGTTATAAATTATTTTAATTTCAGCTTCACCTTTGTGGAATCCTACAAAGTTGGACAACATACATATTTTATTGACAATGTCAATATGATGTTGTCCACTTATAAATAAAATTCTATTTTAAGCACATGCCTCAAACCGAGTCTAACCTTTACAAAATCAACAACGTGGCACCACCATTACCTGGATTTTCTTGAAGCATATAATTTGTACTTGTGGGGGCGTGTATAAGAAATATGAAGAATAATTACAATGTCAATGGTTCACGTTCTTAATAATTTAGTAAAAGTGCATATTGTTACCTGCAAAGATATGTATGTAGGGGCCATCCATATACATACATATTACGCCATCAAACATTATCGACATAAACATACACCCACCCATCCAACGAATACATTAAGGGATACATAGGTAATTTGGACATGGGAAACAGAGAAAGACTTAAACCACCCACCCATTAAAATGATGACGTAATACATGTATGAAGCATCCCATAGTACCTCGGTAGGCGTGAGTCTTTTGTCAGAATTATTCAGAGTGTACATGAATACGTTGTTGTTCCAAGAAATGGCTATATTTGCATAATAACACAACCAGACACTCAACCTTTTCCGTCATATCAGCAAAAATAATAACAACCTACATACATAACTTGAAAGAAGGCTGATTCGTGTCCTCCCATCCTCATAATTATTGAGTGGACAACTATTCTCTTGGTAATATTGACTTTTTGTCAAAATTCGCATCCATTCAATACTTAACTATCCTCCCCGAAATTTGAATATCATATTCCTTGCGTGGTTTGTATCGTTTGGTTTGTGTCGATTTTTAGCATTTAGTCCCATGACTCCAAAAAATAGAAGGAAAAAATGTTCCTATCTGGAAGCATTCGTTACGTAAAAGTTCAACTAAAATACCTCTCCATGTTTGGATTGGACCTGATTTGCTACAATTCTGACATCTCTGAATTCCAACCGGTTCGAACGGCGGCACGTTTTCTTAACTTGAAAATATTTCTAGTTTTTGCCACAACAGGTGGAATTGTGCTGAATGGAGGATATACACTGATGTTCCTCCCAGTGGGTGGAATTTCGCATAAGATTTTTATATGCATGTTCATCGCAGCATTTACGACGGGCATGTGTGTCATGGTCCCATTATTGTTACGCCCGCTGCATTATATTTCTCTGTTCAATATTCAAGTTAAACTGGAGGCTGGCTTGTTCAAAAAATTAGGTGAGTTGATAACTAAAAAAATAAAACAAAAATATATATTTTACACTAAAATTAGGCCACTGCGTTGAATTCTTACCCCAGTTTTAGAGTTTATTGAATTTGCGAAATAATTGCATTCTTCATATTATTAAAATACATATTTACGTGAGTATGAATATATGTACAGTTAGTAAAAGTATTGTTTGGACACTTGATTTCTTCCCTATTACAGAAGTTCCTCCCATATGGAAATTCTGCCTGGAAATATGTCATATCTCGGCTATCGTATCGTCCATCGCGGTTCCTTTGGCGGTGACTATTTTCGCGTTGTATGACCCCACCCACGCCCCTTACTTGGGCTCATTGGTTGGAAATAGATATTCGTGCCAGATGCTGAACACATTCACGCACGTGGCCCTTCTACTCCTCCAGGGATGGGATTTCATCATAATTACAAACATATTTTGCATGATGGTTGTACAAATATTTTTTGGCACGATGATCTTCATTACCGCATTTTTATCAGCTTTAACAAGGTACATATGTACATATTTAATTAGAATTGATTTTAGTTAGTTAGTGGGTAAATGAAGTATGCATTTAACTGTTAGAAGTATTGAAACTCTACACTCTCAATAATTTTGGGAAATACTATTACCTGTCAAAGTAGTGTAGGGCTCCACCTTGGATAATAATTATATCAACAACATACAGTATGTCACTTTATTGTAGATGCAAGGCATCCATACTTTATATAAATCACAAATACTCCACAACGGGTTAATATTTCAAACTAGTTTTCAGACCAATTATTAACAATATTGTATACTACATTCGTGCAAAATTTCAAATGAATTGGGCTACAACTGATAAAATTATAGATATTTAAATCTCAAAAAGTTGCAAATTGCACGCCACAAAATTGTAGATGCAGCTGAGTTTAATTACGATAACGACCCATTATTTCAGGCTACATACAAATTTTGTTCGGGAATGTTTATTTTGGGTAAGAACAGTTGTTTATATTGTCAATAGAAAATATTTTGCAGAAATTTTATTCCAAAATGGTACGTAACAACGAGGTCAATCTAGAATTTCGGGCGGAAAATGGCGTGAGTTATAAAAAGGGCTCAGTTGTGGAAAAATTTTCGGAAAACATGAAATTTCACAAAATATTGTCCAAAAAAAGGAAATGGATCGAAACTCTTTCGAACCATCACGATCGGGGTCAAAAACGCAGTACATCACCATGTGATCACACGAAAATTATAAGAACGGTGAGGATGGTCCTCCTCTGTTCACCCCAAATATTGCGAGAAGTGTTCAAAGTGACCTTTGCACTGATGTCCACCTATAATCGATTATAACCAGGCAGATATTCGCTGAATTATCGGGAGATTTGTCAAAATAAACACCATAGATTTGAATAACAAGCCCCAAGTAATCCTTAGATTTGGGAAGGCAGAACTCAGGATGTCCGCTTGTGACAGGAAAAAATTTTTCTTCCTGGATGAGACCGAAAATCAGCTCTCTGGTTCAAATGAAGTGACCAGAGTGTGGTGGAAGCAAATCGAAAGTGTGAAGAATTGATTTCTGGGGATAATTGTTAAAAATAGAGGTGTCAAAGAAATCTCGGCTGTGGGCACACTGAGTATGTGGTGTGAAACTTTCGAATTCTTGCCGAAATGCAATGGTTTGAGGCAGTTTCCGTTAGAACGGGATAGTAGCATTGAAATGCGTCGTTGACATCATGGCAAACGAGGCTAATCTTGATTTGATAAAAATAAATCTTTGTTGATTTGAAACAAAAGCGGACTTTGGTCAGAGATTTTTCTACCAACATGGCGAATATTATATAAATATTAAAAAAATCTGCTCAAAATGCTTCAAGGGTAGTGGAATAAAGGTGTTAGGTTGGGGTTTTCAATCCCCTGGCCTCAATCCAATCTAGCATTTATGGGGAACCCTGAAGCGTCCATCGTCAGAACGGAAACCGACAAATGCAGCTTCTCCGAAAACCATAGTCACAAAAGAGTGGTGAAAGATCGACCAAAGTGTCACTGATAGATTGGTAGATTCATGGTTAAGACGAATTCAAGCCGGTATTGACGCCAAAAGTACGCCAGCTACATATTGAATGAGCTATTCAGCTGCATCTACAATTTTGTGGCATGCAATTTGCAACTTTTTGAGATTTAAATATCTATAATTTCATCAGTTTTAGCCCAATTCATTTGAAATTTTGCACGAATGTAGTATGAAATATTTCTAATAATTGGTCTAAAAACGAATTTGAAATATTAACCCGTTGTGGAGTATTTGTGATTTATATAAAGCATGGATGCCTTGCATCTACAATAAAGTGACATACTGTATTAACGTACAATAATTAATAACTCGGTGATATTTTGATTATCAGAGCTATAATAGCAAAGGGGTCAGAGCAGAATCTAGTCTTTTCACGAACGCTACATTTAGAAGATAAATTATCGGGATGGAATAGTTTAGCAGCAAGCAATATTTTCACAAAAGAATTATTGAGAGTGTAAGTAGATACATAGATTTCTACTGGTTTGGTCAACATTGTCTTCACGTATGTATTAGGGAACGTTCACAAGTTAAGTAACACAAAAAATTGCGATTGGCTAAATCTCCCTCCCTTACGGAACATGTGTCAAATATGTAGGCACGATACAAGGGGGACTTCCCCCCCTCATGTTACATAATTTATGAACGTCCCCTTATACACACTCTCGCTAAATTTCTTTATTAAAGTCATGCTAATCCATAGGTCCATTAAGGGTCGGCAAGCCAGTATGCAGGAACACTTCCGGTTGTACAGAGGACTCGAAATACTAACATCTCGATTAAATTTCCTATTCAGAGGACTAATTCTACCAGCCATTCTACTCTATTCAATTTCCTGCAATGTGCTCGGAACTTATTTGACCGTATCGGTAAAATCTGAAATATTCGAAGAATTGCGAAATGCTGTATTTCCCCTATTCGCAGTCGAGACAGGGCTCGCAATCTTAGTCTTGGGAAGAGTTGGAGGGTTGATAAATAAGCGCTCGAAAAGGTGCGTCCTCCTCTTGAGACGCAGCTTAAAGGACAAAAGTAGGATGGCGAAATCCTGTCAACCCTTAAAGATTAAGTTTGGCAGTAATTTTATTGGCAGTTCAACCCCACTTGTAATCATATGTTTTTGTGCTAAGAATACGGCTCGATTGTTGCTATTGGAGGAATAAACAAATTTGTTGGCCTAAAACGGCAGAAAATTGCAGAATTTTTGGAGAAAATTTTTAATTAAGTTTTCTATGCACAAATGCAAAACAAGATGGAAAAATATTTCTAGGTCAGCAGGGTGACGGAAATCTCGCAATATCATCAAATTTGTATGTTTGTATATATAATATTCCATCAAATAGGCAGTCAAACATTTGTTATGAACTCTATCGAAATTTTCCATCGAGATGAAAAAACCAATTAACCCAGCAAATCAATTCAGATCAAGGACAATTACTTTAAGTTGACAATTTTTTCTTTACCTATAATATAATGCATATTTTATAATAGATTTCAACACTTATCATAATGTCGTACACGTTTAAAGATACATAAATTTACTTAATAGTATGTATCTTAATATTTATTAAGATACATACCTATATACTTTTGTGTTTAAACTAGGGTTGCCCCGGGTACCCGGTAACTACCCGGTACCCGGCATACCCGGCCTGTTTTGGGATACCCGGTACCCGGCCGGGTATAGCTAACTACCCGGTCTACCCGGCCGGGTAATTTAAATTTATAAATTTCTTACTTAAAATGCAAAACTTTACAAAAAAATAGAATCCGATGGATTTAATTTTTGTACTTGGTTTAAAATACTATATTCTGGGTACAGCATTGGCCAAAACTGATTCGGAAATTATCGTACAAATTTTAAAATTACTTTGAGCGCGCCCACGTCAACGAATTATCAGGCAATAAATTTGTATATCTCGCAAATTAGGCATAACTTTCGAAGTTTTTCGAAATTTGCAAGATTTCTCAAAGCTTTTGCTAAAAACCCATCGTTTTTTTGTAAGACTATTTCGCAGACTCATCCATGCGATTATAAGCGAGAGAAATTGCGAACAAAAAAATCAAAATAAACGTCTTTAGTTGATTTGTGAGACTTTCAAAGTACTATCTTGGTAATCGATTCGCAGGATATGTATCACCTCAAAAAGTCTCACAAAATTGGTTTTATGAGGGGATTCGAATCCCCTCACGCAATAACTTTTTTAAGCCCCACGAGTTGGCTAAATGATTGCGATCATAAACAAGGCATTGTTGTGAGTACGCTCTTTGTGTCCAATATGATTCTTTCATTTTTAATATCCACTTTCTAGCCCAAATCATTAGCCTGAGAAATTGAAATTTTTACAATGTGTATATTGGGCAAAGATACAGGAAACAAGTTCAAAGATAGGCTGCAACCTCCTCCGGGTCGAGTGGAACCATCTCGAACCTCATCATGGAACTGAACTTTATCGGGTACAACCCCATTTCTGGGAAGTATGAGATGATGACCCTAAATCGGAACAGTTCTGCCGCTGAAATCTCCCCCCTTTTAGCAAGCCATGAAGGCCGCACATTTATAATCTCGGCCACCATTTATGCATCCCCGGAAGCCCACGAAATACGAAAGAGACACGTTGATGCCTCCGTAGGATTTAGTTCCATGCATCATTTAATCTTGATAACGAGCGAGGATAAAGTTACACTGATTAAGGACCGAATCCATGCAATTTATAGGGAAAATTTTGCGGATAAGTGTAGCCCAGGGAGCAAACTGTTGCTCAGAGTGACACCGATTGATTCTGATGGAGGGCATACGGCCCCCGCCCTTTCCCTGGCTCGAGGGGATGAGCACCATCCTGATTATGTCAAAACTATTTGGGTTGAAGGGCTCACCCCTGAAGGAGAAGAGCCCGAGTGTATGGGCCAAGTTTTAGATGGGATAAGGCACCTAGCAGAGAAGGAGTTTAAGGATGTCGCTCTTACTAGGGCGCCAGGGCGGGATTTAGAAAGTGCCAGGGCCACTTTTGAGAAATATGATCCCTATGGAGTTTTTAATATTGAAGATTTGTAAAAATTATGAGGAGAATCTGATCGGAATAAATTTTGAAATGTTTACTTGATATAAGTAATACTTGCAATAGAGGTTTTCATCTCGACAAAATTTAACATTTGATTTATGCATATTACTGATATTTATGTATGCGGTGTCTCAGGTAATAAATAATAAATCATAAATGGGGTGAAGCGAAACATACACAAGGTCACCGTACGTTAACATCATGTTGATCTTTGAATTCTCCTCCTAAACCTACGTCTAAAACGATCCATATAAAAATATTCGACATTTTTCACGTTACACGGTCATGGCACGTGACCACGATGCATGTATGTCAATTTCTGAAAACCGGGTCCAAAACGAACGAATCAAATAATTCTAAACCTTTCACCGTTCGTCTGATCACAGTGGCTCCTTTAATTTCGTTTAAACTGAGCATTATGAAAAATTCTGAAACACGTGCTTAACTATTTACCTAAGGCTAGATACATAATTATCATGGTTTCGTCAAAATCGGAGCGAGACCGCTGGCGTCATCGCATTGTAAATATAGACACAATTGTGGCAAAATTTTTGTCCCCATACATTGTTGGCGAGTACGTATGTACTCGTCGACGAGAATAATCTCTCTCCCCAAAAGAGAGATGAGATGCAGTAAAGTTGGCCCGGAAGCCAACTTTATTGCACAAAACCAGGAAACAGCGACAGAAATCGAGATCCAGACCATCCGGATCAACCCAACATCATCTTCTTCTCTCTCCGTAGATTAGTTAGGATAGTTAGTTTTAAGTTAGGTTAGGTAGTATTAGGAAATGTACGAATGAAAGAAAGAATAAATGGGTAGTTCTAGAATTAAGTGCTGTTGTGAGACAATCATTCTGGGCCCTCTCCCCCGAAGGAGAGGGTCCAGCCACAACACAAGTGGTACCTTCGCCCAAACGAACCAAGGGGGAGGAGTGGTCTCCATACCACCCTCCAACTCTCCAAAATTTTAAAAAAGTGTTTAACTCAAATATTCAGTCTAATCCCAATCCGGACATTTGCGACATAAATAAAAATCATAAAAATACCAAGTGTTCTCTCACGAAAAAGTAAAACAAATTGCTCTCCCACAAATTGAACGAAACTAACAAGCAACAAAAAGTGATCCTTTTTCATCATCTGGCAGCCACATTTTCCAACTTTGGGCTTTGTGGATTCTCCGTCCTCTTTTTAAGTGCAACGGAACAAATACACATTGAACTTTCCCCAGTTGACAAATTCTCAAGTTCTCTCCCAGCATCCAAATCGGCTCGGATTGATCAAAAATCTTCAGTTTCTATTCCCCAAGTGACACGGTGGACTTCAATGTGCGACCTGGGTGACCTGCTCCAACAAACAAGACGTCTGGATTCTTACTTCATACAACTAATTGGTCAGATAAGAAATCATTTTTTTTCTTTTCTTTATTATTAATACATGACGGATAGACCAATCGAAATTTTCGAAAGAGATCGCTTAGCGTCTCTTCGGCGAAATGTTCCCCCCTATCATTTGCCTCTCCTCTCTGTGGTCCCCTTCTTTCGGGCCCAATATGGTTTATTCCAACAATTGAACAATTACTCCGGGAAGCTGGAAGCTCCCGCTGTAGTTCTGGTATTAGCTCAAATTGGTCAACTTCCGGTGAGTCGTCATTACCCTTTCTTGCAGTTTGCTGAGGGCAAACCGAATAGTTTTCTAGATCTTCTCACGAAAATCCAAATTTTTCTCTCTAACCTATTAATCACTCACTGTGATTTCGTGCGCAATGACCAACCTTTTAAAATTTCTCTTGACAATTTACCGAGTTTTCCTACCCTCCAGTGCCCTTGGCCGGAGGACTTGGCCCTGTCTATTCCTATGCCCAGGGGTCTAGATACCCCGGTCTCAAGGGAGGCCACACTATCATCAAAATTGCCAGATAGTCCCCCTGTGTTGGCAACTTTATTAACCCCACCCTCTGATTTTTTTTTCACTCGGCAATTCGGGATGAATTTCCTGCCGTGTCTGATTATTAACCTTTTGTCCAGGGTTTACCTCGATGGCATATTTCACAAAAATCCTCAATTATACTTGCTACAAAATCATCAAAATAAATTCTCAGTAACCATTTTTACCTAGAAGAATTTTTTTTCTCGTCCAAATTCATCACTTTAACACGCCAAAATTTTGCACACAAATTCCCATTGACCGGCGTCACTTAGAAAATTTTTCCTCAAAATTCTTTGACGTTTAAAAATAACTCAAGATCACCCTAAATCCCTCTGACTCATCCCAAGCCTCAAAATAGCTTATCTCCTTTTAGGGTTTTGACATGTGTTGATTAAAGTACCTACTTATTTGGCATTATTTCACACCGGCACCAAATCGACCTTTAGTGCCGTTCTTATTCGTGCGTCATCTTTTGGGTTAATTTTAAGTCAGCTCACCATTCATGGTAATTGGCGTTTCTCCAAATATTAATCGGGGCGTTTCATTAGGTACTGCTTCCTTTGACCGCGAGTAACTAACCGTCGTTGGTTACTCGGGTGGTTATTAAGTAGCTTCAGCTACTTTATGTGAAGACTTTGTCTGTCTGTCTGTCTGTCTGTCTGTCTGTCTGTCTGTCTGTCCGTCTGTCTGTCAGCAGGATATCAGGAGAACGGATCGAGATAATCGAAATCGGTTTTCGCCATCATACATAGGACCCCAGGGGGAGGATCCTATCAACTTTTGGGGGCAACCGGACCACACCCCCTTTGGCGACAGGGGGTGTGGTCGGGGCAAAATGAGATTTTTAGTGCAATTTAATCTATAGGTGAAATAGAGTAAAATTATGTGTTCCGGAGTTGTGCCACACCCCCTCGTCGCCAGGGGGTGTGGTTGGGGCAAAATGAGATTTTTAGTGCAATTTATTCTATGGGTAAAATTAAGTGAAATTGAGTGAAATTAAATGAAATTAAGTGAAATTAAGTGAAATTGAGTGTTTCCCCGATTTTGCCGCACCCCTTCGGCGCCAGCGGGTGTGGTTGGGGCAAAATGAGATTTTTAGTGCAATTTAATCTATAGGTGAAGTAGAGTAAAATTATGTGTTCCGGAGTTGTGCCACACCCCCTCGTCGCCAGGGGGTGTGGT